CTACAGGCCTCTAAGAATACATAATTGTCATAAAGGTCAGGACAGAGCCCCGCCATACCAAACAATACACATCTAAATCATACTGACCAAACAAGCAACTCCGGAGAAAATGGAGTGCACCAACATCTTCCGCTGAGCTGATCGCCTACTTGGAGGACTCTCGACCTGTCTATCGAGACCTGCGGGCATGAATCACAGCGTCCCCAGGCAAAAGAGACGTCAGTACAAATAATATACCGAGTATGTAAGGAATGAAAATCAGTAAATAATAGACATGAGAGAAACATGGAGTAAAATACTCGACATGTAAGTCTGAATAGCTTTGTGAATCATTTAATATTATAATGCCATGCATATGTGTATAAATGTCATACCATGCATAGGTATATGCGTGCATAACATCATCAAACCTCCGAGGACATCCCATGATGAATATGTGACTAATGACTCTCTGTTCTTAAGACTTAAATGGGCTCTCTGTCCTTGGATGAATATGTGACTAATGACTCATGTTCCTAAGACTTAAAAATGGATCTCTTTCATTAAATGAATAATGTGACTCACGTTATAAGACTTGCCAAATTCTCACATCTCTTAATCTTGCCACATATATTAATGACTTAAGAGTCATACATGGGGATTGGGGGTGCTGCCACGTGGGGGGAGGGTTAGTCTTATCCAACCATTCCTTAATTAAATAGTTAATCTCCCATTAACCAATTATCCACATAATTAAGAATTATCCCAAATTACTTAAAATACTACTTATTTTTAACACACCTTATACACCTTACTATCATGGCCATGTAGTACCTTGTATGGCACTAGTCCATAAATACCGGGTATTATAGCTCGGACCGTATTTTATTTCAAAATGTCACACTTTGACAAAATTCATTTTCTTCGATTTGCTTACCCTCTCACATTCACGAATTTACTCATCACTTGTTTGAAATAGCATAATGCTTATAATCTCAAGATAATCTCATTCCCGAACTTATGTCGATTAACTTACGACGAAATTTTAACGTACGAAATTGCGGGATGTAACATCACATTTTTCGAGCTTCCATCAATTTACTTATAGCGTATTTTCACGTACGAAAACATGAGGTGTAACATTATTCCCCCCTTTGGAACATTATTCCCCCCTTGGAACATTCGTCCTCGAATGTTGACGGANCATTTTTCGAGCTTCCATCAATTTACTTATGGCGTATTTTCACGTACGAAAACATGGGGTATAACAATTTGCCACCTCTTCCTTCTGATCATAGCAAACTTTCATATGAAGCTGATTTCTGAAATCTTACTTTGCCACCTCTTTTTTTTATGCCACCTCAAAGCAACAAAGAGGTATTGAAGGTCTTTTCATAAGAATGGTGAGTTAGTAGGTAATAGCTTGACGCAGGTGTTTTTTAACCACGTGCCACCTCCTTCCGAGAAAAGTCCATGTTGAAACCATGTGGCATAGTGCTTTGACACCACCAGAGCTACACATCATCTATTTCTAATCAGCCTCTTGATATTCTTCGATGAAATTGGATTCTGCAATTTATTATCTTTTGCTCCAGTTATTATCTTTATCAGAAAGAATTCTGTAAAAGCCCAAAATTGTTTCCTCAATTTGGTCCTTTCCATGAGCTTCTATTCCACTGATGGTGATCTTTTAGAGAAGTTATCTCTATTTCTTACTTCTGTATTTGATGGAACAAGAAGTTTGTATTGGTATTTCCTTTAAGCCAGATTACTCTAGATTCTTCTCCATCTAATTTTTTGGGATATTGCTGTAACTGCAAGTATCTGTCGTTGGATTCTCGTGTTTCAAAAAATTTTCTTCATTTAACACCTCAATTTATACCTTGTTATCAAGTCCCCCCAATTCCTCTATCAGCTTGCCTAATTTCACCCTGACCTCCCATAACCTCTGCTTCTTTTTCTAGATCTCTTAATTTAAGTTTCCTGTTTAATTGCTTTGCTATTGTTTTTGTCTTATTTTACTTTTGTTTGCCCCAGCAGAATCTCCTTTGCTCTTAGCTCATATGGAGCATCCCATTAGTTTTTTTTTTCTTTTTATGCTCGATGAGCATAAGTTTCTTTTTTATTTATTTATTAATTTCTCGTGTTTCAAAGATTTTTCTTCATTTAGCACCTCAATTTCTACTTTGTTATCAAGTACCCCCAATTCCTCTATCAGCTTGCCTATTTCCACCTCAACTTCCTATAACCTCTGTGGTTCTTTTTTCAAGATCTCTTTAAGTTTTGTCCTGTTTAATTTCTTTCTTATTGTTTTTGTCTTGTTTTACTTTTCATTTGCCGCAGAAGAGTCTCCTTTACTCTTAGCTCATATGCAGCATCACTTTATATTTTTAAAAATTTCTGGGAGAATATATCAGTTTGAGCTGCACAGATTGTAGATATGCATGTGATGTCTTTGGTTTTATTGAACAACGTCAAAGACTATTCATACATATACTATATGCGTGTTTATGTCTTTCATGATCCTTGGGCTGATACCTAATTTATGTTTATTGTTTTATATTAAGGTGAACTTACAAGTTGCTATTCTGCCTTATCTTCTAGGAAGCTGGGTTATGCCATTGCCAACATGGTACTTAAGGGGATTTTTGTTGGGTGTGAGACTTGGGAAGAGGGTGCTGTTATCATTGCTGAAATAAACTCGGCTGAGATGCTCAATCCATTCAACAAACAAGTCGTTTTACGAACAAGGGTTAGTCTCTATTAAGGAATTTAGTATTCTAAGTGGCATGTCCAGATTCACATCAAGAAGATTACTATCTTGATAACAATTTAAATGTTTTCTTTCTGATACTTTCTTAGTGCTCCGTTTTTGGCTTTGGCTCATAAATTTAGAACAACTTATCAACTAGGTGGTTAGTTAGTTGCTGCTATGCTGGTGTCACGACCCAAGTCCGGGGCACGTATTGTCCGCTTTGGCCCAATAAACCTCACAGATTAATCCCTGGACTACGCCATTCTCGAGCCCCAAGAGCGCCCGTACCATGTGAACTTGTGTTGTGCCTTATAAGCTCTTCACTTTCCTTGTTCATTCTGATGTTGAATTCGCCTAAAGTGACATGTGCACCCCTTCTTCAGAAGCTTGCCAGCCTAGAAGCTTGCCCGTCCTGCTTGACCTCCCCTCGTCAGTCCGCCCTGCATCATAAGTGTCACATTCACCCCCCTTGGGACTCAGCATCCTCGTTGAGGTTTGCCCCACCATCGTACTGTGAGAGATTCAACTTAGATACCGGTATATATTTGTCACGACCTAGGTCCATGGCACGTATTGTCCGCTTTGGTCCAATAGACCTCATAGATTTGTCCCTAGGCGTACGCCATCATCGAGTCCTAAAAATGCGCGTACCATGTGAACTTATGTTGTGCCTTATAAAGCTCTTCACTTTCCTCTCCCATTCCGATGTGAGATCACTTAAGGTGGCATGTGCTCGCCTTCTTCAGAAGCTTGCCAGCCTAGAAGCCTAGAAGCCTAGAAGCCTGCCAGCCTTGCTTGATCCGCCCTCATCAGCTTGCCCTCCATCATATGCATCATAGTTGGATTATATTTGTGCACACACTTTTATTTTCTATTTGACTTGCATATTATTTTGACCTAATGAAAACATTTTGGCTGGTAACAATAAACTACTAAAGCATTGAAGAAGCTGAGAACAATCGATTCCTTTCAAAATCCTAACCTCAAAGTCTTATGCATTTATTTCAATTCTTAAGTTATTGAACTAGTTATCTCGAGATACTTTGTATCTGGATATGTGAGCGTAGTGGATGCTTGGGTAGTTGGTTGGGTAGTGTATCCTAGCTTTATTGGGGAGCAGACACATTGATACAGTTGTGAGATACAAGATATGAAATCAAGAGAATGTGTTTTGCGCATAAGTGCTTCTATAGATGCATTATACATACAATTTATTCTTTTATAAAATATGATGTATTCAATGTTTGCCGAGTTAAATATTACTAACTCTAAGCTAACACTTCTCCTCAAGTGGGCAAATTTACAAAGCTTGGTACATATGTAACTCTGTCGCGCCCCAAAACTCGAGGGACGTGACCAGCAACCAATGCCTTATGCTTACTATCAAGCGAACAAACCTAACATGACATACTTAACATAGCCCATGCATGGATACAATTCATAAACATTTGAAGAATAACTTTCAATCATAAAGCATGGCCCATTTGCCTAAACATTTGAAATATCATAAAACAACATAATCTTTAAAATAGTCATTAAAACATGCCATGCGAGACTTTAAGTTACATGACAAAACATATACTAGATCCCACAACATGTATGGAGTGCCTAAGACATGACGAATGAAAGAAAAGTTCCGGACAACCCAGACTTCACCCAAAGAATAAAACTGACTAGCTTCTATGGGCAAAGCGAGGCTCACCAAAAGCAGCCGTGGGAGTGAGGGAGAGGGCCTAGCAAGTGGTAGCATTTTCCGAATATCAACAGCTGCATTCACATCTGCCCAAGCCTTGATGGACAGAGTTATCTGGTAGCTGTACTGGTGGGAGGTAGTAGGTATCCTGTGGAATTAGTCGAGGTGCGTGCGAGCTGACCAAAACACCACAATTATAAAAACATAAAGATTACCTTTGGAGGATTATGACCTTCGATTTTATTGGCTATGTTACAGTCTGACCATTGGATGTATGTCTTTGGAAGAATAAGGCCACGATATTATGTTGAATTGTCAGTCTTTCCTTACAATTGGTACTTGTTCACCAGTTCAATGTTATGTCTGGGTTGCATCTTTTTGCTGTTGCATTGTTTTGGAAAAACAATAATTCCAGACACCCTTCTTTTTGGGGGACGTTTTAAATAATAGAACATTTTTTTTTTTTTTTCGTTTAGTTTTTAAACAGATATAGGTATCATGGTGCTTTCCTTGTCTCACCAGCAAGAAATGATGTTCTTTGTGATAGAATACCAACACCTCTTGCAACCAATTGAGCTTGCGTATGTTTGTAAACTGTTATTGCCTAAAATTCTCTAGTTAACCATCAATTCATTTAGGTAAATTCTGATGGAGGCAAGCCAAGTATTCATCAACCTTCTCTAAGTTTCCAACTTGACATGTCGCATCTTAAGCAGGCTGCTACTTTATCTGTGAAGGTACTATAATTTTCCTTGCTTTTTACAATATTTAGGTCAGTTACAAGCTTTTAACTATTGACACAACATTCTATCATGAGTTATTTAATTTTGAATGGGAGGTTTTTTCAAGGACTTACATCCTCTACGTTCGTGTAAACAGGCATCTATCCAGCCACTTCACATAACCTGTGATTTAGAATGTGTCAAGAATATTACGAGTCTTTCTTTCCTTTTGGAACACTCCTGTTCTCTGCAGGACATGGTAAAGTATTCGAGTTATTATGATTATTGTACTTAGAGATCCATAAAATTTGATACTCTTTGAGATCGCTTAATCCAGAGTCTGTCTTATTTCCACTTTAGCCTCCAGGTTAATCCACTGATAAACATAGTTACATTTTATTGTATTACGTACAAAAGGTAATACTGAAAACATGACATTCTGTTTGGTGGTGTTCGGTATCAATGTGTTGCATTCATTTAATAATTGATTTCTGATTGCCTTTAATATTTTTTGCATGAATATTTCTTATATAATGAATCATGCAATGGATGTCCTAATAGTGCCAGAGAGCATCAAGTTACTAATGCAACAAGCATAGGAGCAGAGAAAAGATACATTAATAACTTGATGAATAAATACACCTATTAATAGTAGTCAAACACGCACCATATATCATATTTGTCGAAGCAGACAATATCTAACTAATAGACTTAACTTCTCGACTATAACTCTCAACACTGGGCAGGTCTGCCAAATGTCAGAGGCAGGGAAACTGATCAGTTCTTATTTTGAAAACGAAAAGTAGTGCAGCCAGAACACTTCATGAAAAGTTTGGTGATTAACAACTTTAAATCTTAATTTCTTATAAAACTAACGTTATAAGTTACATATCAGCATATCGCCAAATGCAAGTTAAGGTAACAAATTTGATTACTTTGAAATCAGAGTAAATAGTTGTCAGAACAGTACTGACGGAGCAGTTGGAGCAACTTATCGGAAGTTCATAGAATGTTGCTGAAAAAGGATAGTTTTCAAAATCACCCCAAAAAAAGTTGCAAAACATGACCAGAATAAGGCAAGGCCACCACAGAAGTTACAGGAAAGAGCCCCAGTACTTTTGGAACAGTCACCTTAAGGAAGTGCAGATTGGCATCAGATGATCACTAGAAAGAGGCACTGTGCCTTCGGAATTATCAATGGAAATGAAACATGTGCTGGCTGGACTAGTCACTAGTGCGAGAGAGTGTCATTGGAATGGTTACTTCAAAAAGACATAATGCCAGAACAGTCACCAGAAAGTAGAATACCTAAATTAGGAAAAGGGAGAAACTTTAGATTGCTCGATTGCTGACGAATGCCATAAGTCTCTACCGAGAAATTGTAAATGCTCAAATACCATGTCAGGAAAAGAGAAAAGAGAAGAGAAAAGAGAAAAGAGAAAAGAGAAAAGAGAAAAGAGAAGAGAGAAGAGAGATATTGATGGTTTGATGTATGGATAACCCAATTATAGATGTCAAACGCAACACTCATGATAATTTTCTAATGGGGGGAAGACATTCAACTTGAAGTTTTAACTCTCCTTGTATAACTTTTAACATTGTAACATTAAAACTTAGCATTCTTATACCTAAGCTAATAGTTGCTTTAATTAATAAAGCAAGGTTTTGACAAGATAGATGTTGTCGTGACTTGATATTGTACCGTGTTTCAGATTCTGTCGTCCATCAACAAAATTCAAAATATTAATGCACGACTTCAGACTAAAATTGGGTAAGTACATCTAGCAAGCTCATCTATTAAATAGATCTTCTTGCCTCCTAGTCAAACACATGGATATTACTTGTCCATGTAATAGGGTTATACTGATGCAAATCAATTGGGTATCTATGTTAATCCTCCTGCTCTTGCTGTTATTCCTACGTTTTATATTTCTCCACAGGCACGTCTTATCAGATCGCAAGATTGTTACATGGAATGTCCATATATTGGGTATTACCGTCCTTGTTCCTGCTGGAGATGCAAATTCCGACATGCAGAAGATGGTAAATTATTCCAAGCCATTTTTGGTGCGTTATCCCCATTTCCCATTATTATAGTCTCCCCATTGTCTTTCAGCTCTTCACTTTCCAGACTTTCCTCCTACCTTGATATTCCTTCTAGGTCTGTAACAACTAAATATGCGCCATTCAACCTGGGCAGTAATCATGGGAGATATATTTGGATTTGCAATTCCAAATCACATGTATATTTTGTTCAATTCCCTAAATGAGGTTGTAGTTTATATTCACCGTGCAAAATATGCTGGGATTCTTAGGTGGATAGTTTGTTAATTATGTCTGTTTACCTTTTTTAATATCCTGGTTGTCAAGTAATTTTGCCTCGGACTTGGCATCTAATGACCTCACATGAAAGGTGTATGTATGTTTTGTTCAGTTCCCTAAATGAGGTTGTAGTTTATATTCATTCTGCAAAATATGCTGGGATTCTTACGTGGATAGTTTGTTAATGATGTCTGTTTACCTTTTTTAAATTTTTTTCCTTGTTGTCAAGTAATTTTGCCTCGGACTTGGCATCTAATAACCTCACATGAAAGATGTGAAGTGTAGATATTTCAACCTCGAAAAATTAAGTCCTGACTTGAGTGTACTGAGAGAACATTTGGTTCGCCTCCTGTAATTTTATTGTGACCCATGACACTTGCATGGTGTCCTTGACCAATTTTCTATCGAGACGTAGAAGGCATTGTTATTATTAATGTAGTATTGCATTTTTAGTGGCCTGAAATTTCTAGTTTGGGCAGGTTCTGGAAGCAGGGGAATTAACCTTTGCATCAAAAGGTGACAGAGATACTTTATTAGCATCATCTTGTTGCACTAGTGATGTTGTCTTGGGTTGTCAGCTTCAAGATCTCTATGATCACTTTGAGATTAACATTAGTGATCTTGAGGTCAGTCATTTTGCTCTTTTTTACTCAATTTCCTACTCGTATGATGTCAGTTAAGTGTGACTTCTTGCTGCAGGTAAAATTTTTGACTTCATATTCCTCTGGAACTGTCAACCTTCTGGAGAAATTTAGTACCAATATCAATTTGAGATTGTGCATTATTCCTGACGAATCAGAGTTGAAAAATTGTGAGGTAAGGGAACCATTTTCATGATTATGTTTTCTATACTTAGCATTACCAATTCAATTTTGGGTTTGCAATAGTCTTTATTTTCTCTTGAAATCATAGGGTCTTACATTTTTAAGCCTTGAATTTGTTGTTGTGTAATTGAAATTGATGGATATTGCTAGTGGTGCAAGGATCTAATTTTGTTTACAAATTACTGTTTGTTTGCGTCTATGTTCTTGACTGGTCAAAAGTGAAAAGCTTAACTACTGAATTTACAAATAATTTTTTTCACATTTAAGCTCATTGTTTTTATTGCCTTCAAGATACTAAAGATGTTTCTTTTTCTTCTCATTAATTGGGTGGCCCAGTTTCGTGTGGGGCAGAGAAGAAGAGCTAATGACCCATACCGTTAAATTTTAAATGGGAAAGCATGACTATTGCTTTTTGACTAATATAATTGATAGAAGTCCTACTAAATCCCATGTTACCTTTATGCTGAACTACTTTTACTCTTGCAGGCAAAGGTCAGTAAAAAACAAATAGAGGGAAATGTCCATTTTGCTTTTAATTTGAAGAATATATAGTATCAAAGTTTATCAATCTTGCTTGTTATTACTCCAAGACTGTCTATTTATTTTATTATTGCAGGTGTCTAATTTACTTTTTTAATAATACTTTAGGGTGGTTTATCTTTGTTGTTTCGTTCAAATTTTAAAAACTCTAGCTTATCACATAGTACAAAGTCTTCGATACCTTTTTAATTTTAGGGTACTGTAGTGACAGGGAGAGAGTGGCATATAGCGAACACGACTATCCCTTTACGTTGTCACAAAAAGGCTGTATCCACGCCTCAAAACCTGTGAATAGGTTATGAAATGAGCAATCTACCAATGGCATCAACACCTGCACTTGTTCCTAAAAAGGTTAGGTTAGAAATTCAATCTTGGTGATGTCCATTTTTTGGTGATTATTGGTGGATATATTGTTTTAAGTAATGTTTCATATCTGGTGAAACATGGCAAGTTTTAATCACTGTATTAAGTTGCAGAATTTGGGTCATGTGGACAATCTTAAAGGTATAATAGCTGATGTAAAGCATGAAGAAGATGTTCAAGTTGTAATTTTCACACTAACAAACTGAAACATCTGCCGATTTGAGTGGTTGTATGGAGCAAGTTCTGTTAGACTGTTATGATGCTACTCCACTTGCTAGGTTTTCTAATTCGCAAAGTATTCTTTATGTTTGATCAGATGCTTATAATGTAGGTTGCTTTTTTGCTTTCAGGTTGATATTGAGGTTTCATCAGTTCTTGCTCACTTTTCACCATTACTATACGGGGCAATTATGGAACTAATTGTAGATTTTGATATATTGCGTCTATCATCAGACTCCTTGGCGCCAACTACAGTTAATGGATGTGGGATATCTGCGATTTTTTGGTTCTCCATTGCTGCAAATGTGAAATCTATTGGTTTCTTGATCGATTTTGAAAGTGATGTAGAAAATGCTTGCAGTCTCATGCTTTTGCTTCAGATATTAAATATTCGGTATGTGGATTTGCATATTGTTTTACTTTTTATCAACCAGAAAAGGATATACCATTAGTAATAGCGAAAATACACAAAAGATGAGATGTTACACAAAGTTGGTAAGTGAAATCGTGTTGCAGCTTTATACTCCTAGACATATCATAAATAACGAGCCTGTCTATTAACCATCCTGGGTTTTCACCGCAAGAATGCTACAAGAATTTCTCTAGTGCCAAAATACTTGACAGTTGACAAAAAGTGGCACGTCCGATAGAGGAGTTATTTTCTGCTCTGATAAAATTGCACTGTTTTTGTTTGTTCACCTCAAGTCATCCGTGATACAATGCCAATTTCAGGTAAATCAGTCATGGCATCCACCATGATGGAGTCTAAACTGTAGCATTGATCGGACCATTGTCTTAAATTCTATTAATATGTTCTTCGAAATCAGATAGACATTTTGAAGTGCTTCCTTTTAACTGTGGTGTTCGAGCTAGCTTGTGTGGACCTAGACTATTCCACGGGCATCTCTGTCCTCCCACTAGTACAGATTTTGTGTGAATCTCCCCACGAAGACTTGAGCAGATGAAGAATGATATTACTTTTTTGTCTCTGCTGGAATCCATTATTTTCATGGCAGCTTCATTGGCTGCTAGGCTACACACTAGGGTGCTGAATTTGTTTTAAGTTTTTATTTTGTTGTTGGTTGGCAGCAAGTGAGCTTGACTACTTATCTGGCGAGAAAACAAATAGAGGAGTAAAGGTGCATTTGAAGTTGTGGCTGAAATAGTTGTATTTCGACTTAACCTTTAAAATTCAAGTATTCACTGTAAAGAAAATATTAGAAAACTTTCTCTTTTTGTGCTGGTGGGAGGTAGAAGGTATCCATGGAATAAGTCGAGGTGCGCGCAAGCTTGCCTGAACACCACAATTATCAAATAAAAGAAAATAGTAAAAACAACATGTTGTCTGGTATCTATCCTTCAATCATTTATTTCCTTGTGTTCCAGGAGAGATCCTTTTCAAATCATTTCTGTATTAAGCGTTCACTTTATGAAGTTGCAGGTTTGATGGAAAAGAGTCCTTAGAGGGAAGGGCCTCAGTGAAGGATATAAACATCCATGATTATTGTGGTAGAAGTGAAGGGAAAAGCCTTACCTTTTGCTCATCTCGAAGCTCGTCAGGATCTATGTATCAGGATGATAATGGTGTCAGAATTGGTCGTCAAACTGGGGATTCCGATAACAAAAGTAGTACCAATGATCCGTGCATTCTGTTCCATTACAAATACTGTGAGAATTCAGGATTCATTGGTCATGAATGTAAATTGAGTTTAAGTGGTCTTGATATTCACTGCTACCGTTTTATAATTGGAGTTTTGGTAGGATTTGCTGATAAGCTATCTAAAATCAGAACTTCTCTTCGAGTTGCGGGCAACCCTTTAGTGAATGGCAACAATTGCATTCCTAGTTTTCTTTCCTCGCTTCAAAATTCTGGTTTCTCCAACTTTTTTAAAACTTCTGTGTCTGAATGGGCAAGCATTTCATTGGATCATTTCCCTTTCATCACCCTAACAGATACTGGTTCTTTACTTAATCTTGGAGGTTTCTCAAACGAAAATTTCCCTGAGTGGAGGAAGGTTCTCAATTTAAGGGACTGCAAGGTCAGAAATCCTAAGGCCGACATAGAGAATAGATCTAACAGTCAGCTTCCATTTTCTGTTAAGTCGTCTTCTCAAATTTATGATGCTAAAAAGGCGTATTTCATTGATTTGGAGCTCAGCAGCTGCAGAGTTCATTTTCATGAACCCCCTTACGTGATTGGAACTCTTCTGTTTCCAAATGTCAAGTCTGCATTGTGTATTTGCGCTGACTATCTGGATATACTTTGCTCTGCTGAGGGTTTGGCTCTTTCTTCTTTACAGTGGACTCAAATGATGCAGGATTTCCTTTGGGGTCCCTTGACATCCAGTTCCTCTCCAACTTTGAACCTACGTGTCAGGAAAGAAAGTGAAAAGTCACCGTTGAAAATGAGTTTCAGTATCCAGAATGTGTCTTGTGTTTTACCGCCTGAGTTCCTTGCAGTTATCATTGGTTATTTTTCCTTATCTGATTTGAGCAGTCCCGGTGGATTGCCTATTACAGAAAGCTCTAACTCTAATACTTCAAAAGACAATGTATGCACTGAATTTATGTTTGAGATACTGGACTCCAACTTATTTATACCGACGGGGGCCAGCGGATCTCAATTTCTGAAATTTGATATACAACGGTTATATTCTGGTTTCACGCAAAATGGTGAAGCAAAGTTTGTGCTGAAGGATATTCCTGCGGAGTGCTTGGTTACAGAAGATGAAATTGCTCACAGAAATGATTGTCTAGACTTATTTGGATATGACTTATCTCTATCTTTGATGCAATTGGAAGAAGAAGCATCTAATTGTTCAGGTTCTTTTTATGGCCCCTCTTGGGCAAATATCATCTTGATTGCGCCATTTAGTGCTGATGTATGGGTGAGATTACCATCCCAATGTGAATGTTGCGATGTCGTATCCTGTTATCCAAGTTGCATTATGACAATAGTCAAGGTTTGTCAACTCAACGCTGAAGGTAAGAATCAGATTCTGTCATAGGTTTTCTTGAGTATTCAAGCAAACCTTTTGCATCTCAGTATTTGCTCTTTGTGCACAGGTGCATCACTCATGATTGGGTGTGAAGCAATGATGGATATGATAGATCAGTTTTCCTCGGTAAATAAACAAGCCTTAGCATTCAAATCTGATATCTTACAGTTTTTTCTATGCAAGGAGGGAAAAAAGGAAAAAGACGCATCTCTGCCTCAAGCCTCTCCTGAAAATTTCATGATAATCCAAGCTTCTGTGAGGTCAATGTCCATAAAATGGCGAGAACAGAAAGGAGAATCAGTTGCTTCTGACCTCATTGGGGAGGTTAACATGCAGTTGCTGTGTTCTGCCTCTTTAAAAAATGATGAACTCTCAAGGCTGAGGATCTCCTTCTCTTATCTACAGCTATTCTCATCACTGAACTCTGTTTTGCTTGCAGAATGCTGTTCTAACTCTGGCTTACCTGTTATTGTAACAACATTTTCATTGTCTGATCATGGTGCAAATATGCTTTCTGTTTCCATGTCTTTGCTAGATGTTTGGATACATTTGTCTGACTGGGTTGCGATCATCAATGTACTCCATTCTTCCTCTACAAAACAACCCAAGATCTTAATGACAAACTCATTATCAAAGAATATTGCACATGTCCCTATTGACCAACTCAAGGATGGTGAAAATGATGGCCCACAAAATTCCTATCCATGTCCAAATATTTTGACGTCTGAAGTAAATGTGGGGCTTGTTTCTGGAATTCACTATGTTGAGTTGGAAAGTTTTAGTGTCCAAATTCATGTTCCTGCTTGGATTAGAAGTGATGCTTTTGACACATCAGAGGTGAAGCAGGGTGAAAAGAACATGAATGATTTACGAAACATGATTTATGGAAATCGACATGGCCTTTTTACTGTTGGCTTTCAAGCTAGGAATGCTAAACTTTTTAACTTCGGGACCATTATGAGATTGAAAATTGATCTAGATAAAACCTGGGGTACAGTGGAGCTAGTAAAGGATGATACGACACGCACATGGCCCCTGTTTGAACTATTTCAAGTGAACCTGGAAGCTGAAATTTGCACTAGTTGCATTGAGCATATCCATGCGAACGTGGATCTTCAATGTCACTGTCTGGATGTATGGTTATCAGATCACATTCTTTATTTCTGGCACTTTGTGGATTTTGAAAGTCCAGCAGCTGGGCCTTCTCAGTTTAGTGTCAGTCAAGTGAAATTTGAAATCCAGCTTAGAAAGTTTTCTCTTCTTTTGGCTGATGGAAAGGTGATTTCAACTCTATAGCACTATCTCTACCGACATCATTTCTGCAGTGTGCTTTTGCTAGATTGGACTCAAAAATGCATGTTGATAACTTGATCTCTTGCTATTTGTTAGTTAGTTAGCTGTTATGTAAATAAGCATAGTCCTGATCATTGCCAGTAATAACAATATCATCAACATAGACCACCAGAAAAAGTAGAATGCCGATAAAACACAGAGTGATCAGCTTCACTACGAGTCATGGGATAGCTGTGTTGAACTTACCAAACCAGGCTCAAGGAGGCTGGTTTAGACCATAAAGTGACCGGCGCAAGTGACATACAAGGCCACGAGACTCCCCCTGCGCAACATAACCAGGTGGTTGCTCCATATAATCTTCAACCTCAAGGTCACCGTGAAGAAAAGCATTCTTAATGTCCAGCTGATAGAGAGGCCAATGGCGAACAACAACTATGGATAGAAAATGACGGACTGATTCTATTTTAGCCACGGGAGAGAGAGTATCACTATAATCGAGCCCAAATATCTGAGTATATCCTTTGGCAACAAGACATGCCTGGAATAGACGAAACAAGGGCATCAACTTGGAATCAATAGATCGCCACAAAATACTACATAACTGAGCATCGATCTTCTCCCAAAGTGCTTTGGCCTTTTCATCTCCTTCGCTAGACTTTTTGATTAAATGATCTTGAACACCTTGACCTTTCACAACAACTCGACAGACGAACCCCAAGCTAAGTAGTTTGAATTTCCCATTAAAGGTTTTGAGGTAATCATACACCGGAAATGCCAGAGCCCGTGTTTTTAGACCCTAAAACATCAACTCCCAAAGACATCGTTGGATTAAAGAGAGGTCTATAAAATTATCACCAAATAACAGAAAGAATCAATTGAAACTCGCTGAAACAGACGAAAGAGGCACTGTATTTGCCGAAAAATTACTGTAGCTGCCGGAAAATCAGTGTAGTCGGAGAAATCTCAAAGTGTTCGGAATAAAAAGAAAACAGTATGGGCCTGGTCGGAACTACTAGACGATAAGACCGTCCTGAAGAAACATTTCCAAAAAATGGCCGGAACAATGGTCACGTGCTGGTGCGTGGGTCCGACGCGCCGCCGGCGTCAGAAGTTCTGGAGGCGCGTGAGAGCGCGTGGCTGGGTTTCTGTCGGTGTGGCTTTCTGGGATTTGGTCGCCTGAGAATTCCGCACCTGCTGGTGCTGTTATTGTTCGTAAAAAAACCCACCGGAGAAGGGATGACGCAAAAAAAGCCTGAATTCACCGGGAAAAAGGCACGGTGACTGTCCCGGACTCGCTGGTTACTGCATAGCGGGGATTTCTCACTAGTTGCTCTGATACCATGTGAAAAAGCACGGGAAAATATATTATTCATGTATGCTAACCATAATATAAGTACCCCAATTTATAACAATACACAATAATCTCACTACTCCTATTCCATGTAGGACTATGCTTTTTTACATAACAACTAACTAACTAACACTATTCAACTGTCTTAAATCCATTACTATCTTTAGAAGTATTTAATGATTTATGCTCTTATGGGTACCACCGGGAAGCTGTAGACCATCATCATATTTCCTTTAATGGTTCCTCCCTTTTGTTTGAACAGTAAATTGACAGTTCATGGTAGGAGTTATTCCTCATTGGTGACTGACATCTGTTTCCTGGCATTCTTTTTTCTTGCACGAAACTTTTCTTGCAAGGTCTTGTGTAATCTACATGAATTTTCTCATTGATATTGAGTGCGGGGGTAAAGTTATGAACATGCATGCTGCTGGTATGCCACCTTCGGTCCATCATGTCAGTTAGAAGTTGTAGGAGCACTTTGAAATATATCTTGTTTCAGAGAAGTCTAGTTCCTGGAAGCTCACGAAGATATAGGAAGGCTGTTAGTAATTAGGATTCGGTCTCTAGGTTTTCAGAGTGTGTTGTAATTTCTTCTTCAGTATTATTATTGTTAAGATCTCCCACATTACTTGAGGAAATGGGCTATTGTCACCTAATATGATTTTGGGCAATCTTCACCTCAAACGTTTGCAATTGAGTTTAGGCCCAATTTTCATTGTCTTTACATGGTATTAGTGCCAGACACATTCCTATTCTTGGTTAACCCCATGTTGCACCCGTATGTTATATTGTCCACACTCGAAAAAGTCCAGCCTTCGGCATGCACACAGAGTCTAAGAATGTCCCACATTGGTTGAGAGAAGGGCTTATTGCCGCCTTATTTGGTCCAGTGCAATCCTCACCCCATGAACTAGTTTTTTGGTTGAGTTAAGCCTTATGTCCATCTTCTTTACAATTATGCTCATATTTTCATGAAAAAGTTGCATTTTTTCTTTTATCATCACTGTCAAAACTCCTCTGTACTGAATTGGGAAGAGTTTCTTTTTCTCCTTTTCTTATCTCGTTATTGTCTCCTTATATGGTCCTGGACAAGCATCACCTCTTTTTATCTTTTTCTTTTTTTCCTATTCTTTTTGGGTTGTTTTCTAACTTTTGTTTATGGGGGTGTGGTGTGGTGTGGTGGGGTGGGGTTCTAGGCTGCAAATTTTATCCCTGATGTTCCGTCATATTTAATCTTTGCTTTTCTGGTCTTTCATCTGGTTAATTGTGTGGTCTTTTGTTTTTTCACTGCTGATAAGTGGGGCGATTCTTGTTTGTTTCATGCCAGTATTGTCTTTTTTATATTTTGAATGCAATGAGTTATTGTCCTTTGATCATTTCTGCTAATTATATCCCATAAATTCTTCAGCTACAAATGTTTTGCTAATACCTGTATATTTTTCTCTAGTGGAGTTCAAGTGGACCTTTGCTGGAGTTACTCATGACAAACTTGCTTCTTCGCTCAAATATAGCTGGAAATGAAATGGAGGGTTTAGTGAAGTGTGAAGTCCAAGTGAACTACAATAACATTGACAAGGTAGAGATAACAAATCATGGTTTATCTTCTATTGGACTTCTGGTTCACTAATTTTATTTTCTATCTGGGACAATAGGCGTTGTGGGAGCCTTTCCTAGAGCCATGGAAAGTCCAGCTAAGCATAAGAAGGCATGACGACCATTCCCTTTTGAGTAGTGACGTTACTAGCAATCTTCATATTGAGTCGACAACTCAACTTAACTTGAATCTTACCGAGTCCCTTATTGAGGTAATTTAGTTTAACTGTTTTGCAAGAAAACTCTCTGTTGCATTTGTTGATAAAATTATTTATTGCAAGAAAGGAATCCCTCTTGGCGTTTTCTGGTGGAAATTGTGAGAAAATAGAACAAGGAAGAAAGAATTGTGAGAAACTCTGCTTGATTATTCCCTCAAGCTATTGGGTATTTAGATAGTAAGGCATACATGTTCTAAACTAGGAAAGAAAATCAAGATGTACATAATTACAGGAAACTAGTCATCCTAATTGGTTTGTGATCCTAATTGATATGCTGTGTATTTACAATATCCTTAACTCCCCTCAAGCCGGTGTATATAAATCGTATGCGCCAAGCTTGTTGCACATATAACTTGTTCTTGGACCAGACTTGGTGAATATATCTTCAAGCTGATCATTCCACTTTACGAACTTTGTGAAAGTATCTCTTGAGAGCATCTTTTCTCTGATAAAATGGCAATCAATTTCTATATGCGTAGTCCTCTCATGAAACACCGTATTTGATGTGATATGAAGTGCAACTTGATTATCACACACAAGTTCATTTGGCCAATCTTTCTAAATTTCAATTCTTTTAGTAGTTGCTTGATCCAGATGTGTTTGTAGGCGCCACTTCCATTGTTCTATATTCTGCTTCTGCACTCGATCTTGCAACTACATTTTGCTTCTCACTTTTCCAAGACACTAAATACTACGAAGGTCTATTTAGTCGTAATCATTGAGAGAGGCAAACCTATTGCAACTCAAAAGTCACAGAAGCCTTCTCCACAAATTCAAAAACTGTTTGTATTTGCGTTTATTCTTATATCCTTATCTTGTTGTTGTTACTATGTGTTGTGTCTGTTTCTTTTACTTTTATCTTGAGCCGGGGTTCTACCGGAAACAACCTCTCTACCTTCACAAGGTATGGGTAAGGTCACTCTACCCCTCCCAAACCCCACTTTGTGGGATTACACTGGTTTTTTTTGTTGTTGTTGTTGTTGCTTGTATTTGCCTTTATTCATCATCGAATAAAATTTTACACGCTTCTATTGTCTCAACAATGGTCTCACCTATGAATGGCATCATAGTATATTATACGTGGACGTCAGTTGACGCCTAATAACAAAACATCACCACTGTTATCCTCGTCTTTCTGAGCTTTAATCAGATAAGCTCAACCTTGTGTCATAAAATACTAGATTACATTTTGCTGCATCCTTGAAAATGATAGACTAAGCATCATAGGTCATCCTTAGCAGATTTAGGTTATATGAATCATCTCTATCCATATTCAAAGGATTCTTTACTATGTTTATGCTGGTTGTTGTTAGATAGTTATTGAAATAACGTGAATTAGTCCTAGTCCCACATAGAATAGGAGTAGGATATGTATTGTATAAATAGGGCCCATTGTATTATAATTGAATAGAATATCAAAAAATAGATTTTTCTCCCGTGCATTCTCACTGTTGTTAACCTAAAGCTAACATTGATGGAGTTCCTTGGCCGAAATGAATATGCAGACTTTTTCTTTTTAAAAAAATTATCCCTGATTTAGGATTAAATATGAGTTCATTTGTTTTTTGTACACTACTCTTATCTAGTTTTTTGTTTAAAGAAGTTCTCATCCTTAGTTTCCTTTCATCTGATAGGCATAATTATAGGAATTCTTGCAGTATGCTTGCAGAATATTGACAGAAATATAACAAATTGCACAATGTAAAATTTTACTACAGAATTGCTTATTGGTCATCTCTTTTAAGTACAATTCAAACGAGATAGCTGATGTATGTCTCTTTCCTTTTGCTTTCCTTTGGTGAAGGTTGTTTCTAGGGCAATTGAGATGACTAAAAATGCATGGGATCTGGTACAGTTGACTGCTCATTCTGAAATCCCATCATTCTTAAATTCTCAGATAAGTGAAAATCTGGACACCCGGAGTTCTCCTCCTTATATACTGCAAAATCTGACTTCGCTGCCTTTAGAGTTTCATGTCTATCAACAGCAGCAGAGTGGTTATGGCTTAGAAGTACCCTCCGTGAAAGGTGGAAAGTATTTACAACCAGGATCTTCTATTCCAGTTTATGTTAGTGAAAGTCTTGAGGAACAAATTTTACGCTATAGGCCTGCACAATCCTGTGACCAACTTGGTGACAAAAAGTCGGTGGAGCCTTCACATCATTATATCATTGTTCAACTCGAGGGAACATCATTTCCTTCTGCTCCTATTTCAATGGATCTTGTTGGTATTAGATACTTTGAGGTCGATTTTTCCAAATCATCAAGGAAGTTTGATATTGATACAACTAAGAATGTTCCAAACAGTAGTATAAATGATGGAAGGAACGGTAGAATAGAAGAAAAAAGTGGCTTTATCGTTCCTGTAGTGATTGATGTGTCCATACAGAGTTACACGAAGATGGTGCGGTTGTACTCAACTGTAAGTGCCAATGCTGGTCATATTTTGTGCAGTGTTGATCATCTATACTGCTTTACATATTTCGGGTTGATTTCAGGTAGTAGTATCAAATGGAACTTCTGTGCCTCTTGAAGTACGGTTTGACATTCCATTTGGTGTTTCTCCAAAGGTATATAGGCGGACGTAATTCTATTGGTTCAGGAAAAAGAATACCAGTATCTGTTTAGTTTTGGCTGGATTTCTGTCCCTACACTTTTTCGTAACTTCTGTCATTTCCCTTCTTTGTCATGTCAGATTCTGGACCCCATATATCCTGGTCAACAGTTTCCTCTTCCATTACATTTGGCTGAAGCAGGACGAATGAGATGGCGTCCTCTTGGTAATTCTTACTTGTGGAGTGAAGCCCACAGTATTCCAAATATTCTTTCAAATGAAAATAGAATCAGCCTTTTGCGCTCTTTTGTCTGCTATCCATCTCATCCAAGCAGTGACCCTTTCCGCTGCTGCATATCTGTGCATGATTGGTGCTTAGCGTCAGCTGTGTCACCAGAAAAAGGGTTTTCTTTGTCCAACAATATTCTAACACAACCCCTTAAAGCTCATAACAATGTAACTTACATGCTCAAGTCCGAGAAGAGGAATGTACATCAGTTGACTTTAAGCAGTCCATTGGTGTTAAAGAACTATCTTCCGGAGATGGTATCTGTGACAATAGAAAATGCTGGTGTTTGTCGTTCTGCAGATGTGTCAGAGGTTTGCACTATGTTATAGTTACTAATATTTCATGAATAAATTTGTTTTAATTTGTGTTTCTTCACCAGCATAATTTTCCATTTCTTCCAGGTTGAAACTTCTTTCTTCCATGTTGATTCTTCACATGACCTCACAATAACTTTCGACATGCCTGGATATAAACCTTCAGCTGTGAAATTTCCACGTGCTGAAACATTTGGTGAAATAGCAAAGTTCAGCGGAACAAGGTTCTCTTTGTCGGAGACTATTACTTTTGACCCTCAGTCATCAGATGGTACCTATTGAATTTTGCATGCCTGTTCTTTGTCATCATACCAGCATTATTAGTTCTGTCTCTTATTATTTTTTATTCTATAATCTCCACTCTATTAGGTCCTCTGTGTGTTGCAATTGAGAAGGTGATGGATGCATTCTGTGGAGCTCGTGAAATATGCATTTCGGTTCCATTTTTGCTATACAATTGCACTGGTTTCCCCCTTGTTGTGTCTGAATCTGTCAACTGGACAAAAGGCCATTTTAGTGTTATTACTTCTTGCTATGATGTGGACGAGCAGGACCTAATTCTCCGCAAGAAAGATGGTCTTGGCATTTTTACTTCTAATCAAGATATGGATACAGCTGCGAATAGCAACATTCTGCCTGTAGCTCCCTTGAGCAATTACCTCGTCACAAAGTCACATGACCGTAAATTCTCTGAGACACAATCGATCGAGTTTGATAATTCAACAGTTCTTCACCGGGGTTCACAGAAGCATGATATATATGCTTCAAAAGCATCGCTTCACTGGAGTAGGTCTTATACAAGCAGTCAGTCCAGCTTAAAATCTTGTAGCTTAACAGAAGGTGATGCTTGGAAGGTTAATTGCCGGATGTATTCACCTAACCCAAGTTTGTCTTCAAGTGAAATTATGGTCCGACTGTGTAGATATCTACCTAATTCTCTGATGGATGACATTCCTAATGATTCTTGGTCTATCGCTTTTTCTCTTGTGCCGCCTACTGGTTCGACCAGTGTAACGGTCCCACAACCATCCAGGAAATCTGGTTATGTAACTTCTGTTAGTGCTGTTGCAGCACCATTTTTGGGTAGGACAAGAATTATTACCTTTCAGCCAAGGTAATCTACAATATCATAATTATGTCATTCTACTACCATATTCAAAGTGTTTATTTAACATCTTCCTGCCAGGAATGTATCTATAATTAAGCACTCATAATTCTACAGATACGTAATCAGTAATGCATGCAACAAGGATTTGTGTTACAAGCAGAAAGGAACAGATGATGTTTTCACATTGGAATCTGGAAGGCATTCTCATATTCAGTGGACGAATACAATGAGGTATATTGTGACGGTGGTTGGCATTATCATTGCTCATTGATATCTCAAGTTACTTCTAAGTTTGCACATATTACGAATTCCCCTCATAAATGTTAAATACTTCTAAACTAAGTGCACATGCATTTGTAGGTACATATAGAACTCCGGCACCTAGTTATTGTGATTTAGTTTTGGTTGAAACAGTGGAGGACTATAATACTCCTAGAAGCATGGGAGGAGTATGCTACCCCAATGCATGCAAAGCCCCCCGTCTGAAATTTCCATTCGGGACATTTCAAACTAATCCTCTGTTACATAGTTATGTAAATAACCNATACTTCTAAACTAAGTGCACGTGCATTTGCACATATAGAACTCCAGCACCTAGTTATTGTGATTTAGTTTGGTGAAGCAGTGGAGGACTATAATACTCCTAGAAGCATGGGAGGAGTATGATACCCCAATGCATGCAAAGCCCCTTGTCTGAAATTTCCATTAGGGACATTTCAAACTAATCCTCCGTTAGATAGTTATGTAAATAACCCAAGTCCCACATGGAATATGAGTAGAATATGTATTGTGTATAGTTATAAATAGGGCTATTATAAAACACTTAATAGAAGATCAATAATAGATTTTTCTCCCGTGCATTCTCACATGGTATCAGAGCATTAGTGTGAAAGGATCGTTGTGCGTCATTCCAGCGTAACCGGGAAGAAAGAACTTCGTCATCGTGTAATTTTTCCTGTGACCTAAGGGCTGTCTATGTGAAAGTCACTTTCCGTCGGTGTTGTGCAAAAAACCAACACCACCACGAGGTAGATCACCGTCCGGCGACCAACCCCAGAAAATTTCTCCGGCACAAAAGCTGCCACGCGCCTACACGTGCCGGTAATAGAAAATTTTATGGCGAGGGTTTCGACTCACGCGCCAGCGCGTGGGCCACTTTCCGGCCATTTTTTCGCAAAGTTTCTTCAAGACAGCTTTTTCGCGAGGCTTTTCGGAGCCTACCCATCCAAGTTTCACCAAAATCTGATGACCTTTTTGTTTTCCGGTGAGTGAACAATGTTTTCCAAAAAAGAAAAAGTGTTCTAATTTGGGGTTCCAAGGTTAACCATACAACTTTAGTCAAGAATTTGAGAAATTGATTTTAGCAAAATGGGATCCAATACTATGAACAATTGGATAGTTTCTCTATCGGATTATATTGAGTCCCTTCAGTACAAAGCGTGTAAACAAACATCTTCATGGATAGCTTCCGTTGTTCAAACAGATAGTGACATGACTTGTGACTCCCAACCTTCAACCTCCGAGTCTTGGGTCATTGATTCAGGTGCATCTGATCATATTTCTGGTAACAAATCTCTATTCACTACTATTTCATGTTTTCAATCTCTCCCAACAGTCACAATGGCAAACGGGTCTCAAACCATGGCAACTGGAATAGGTCAAGCAAGTCCACATCCTTCCTTACCTTTAGATTCAGTTCTTTATGTTCCCGGTAGTCCTTTTAATCTCATAGCCGTTAGTCTCTTAGCCAAATCACTTAAATGCTCTGTTTTATTTCTTGATAACCTTGTTTTTATACAAAAATGCAGTACGGGGCAGATCATTCACCATTATTACCTTATCCTTGCAAAATCGCATGGACTCACATCTTATCTTCCTTAAACAACTTGTCCTGTTACTGATTCCAGATTTATTACATAAATGGTTGGGACATTCCAGTTTGTCAAAATTTCAGAAAATGGTACCTGGTTTATCTCACTTGTCCACTCTAGAGTGTGAGTCATGTCAGCTCGGTAAGCATACTCGCTCCAATTTCCCTCGGCATCTTAATAATCGAGCAGAGTCACCTTTTGCTTTAGTCTATTCAGACGTTTAGGGTTCTAGTCGGGCCAGTTCTACCTTGGGATTTCGCTTTTTTGTCAGTTTCATTGATGGTTATTCCAGGTGCACTTGGATAATTTTGATGAAAACTTGATCCGAGTTATTTTCTATTTTCCAGACCTTCCACGCTGAAATTCAAAATCAATTTTGCGTTTCTATCCGCATATTTCGTAGTGATAATGCCCTAGAGTGTTTATCTTCCCCATTTCAGCAGTTTATGAACTCTCATGGGATTATTCATCAAACATCTTGTCTGTACACATCTCAACAAAATAAGGTAGCTGAAAGGAAAAATAGACATCTTATTGAAACTGCTCGTGCCCTACTCATACAATCTCATGTTCCGTTGCGTTTTAGGGGGTTGCACTTCTTACATCTTGTTATCTTATTAATCGTATGCCATCCTCAGCTATACAGAATCAAGTTCCATTCTCTGTTTTGTTTCCCCACTCACATTTATTCTCTCTTCCACCCCGTGTCTTTGGGATCACATGTTTTGTTCATAACCTTACTCTAGGAAAAGATAAGTTAGCTCCTCCTGTTTTTATGTGCGTATTTTTGGGTTAGTCAAGAACGTAGAATGGATATCGATGCTATTCACATGACCTCCAGCGGTACCTTATGTCTACTGATGTTACCTTCTTTGAAAGCCAATCATACTTCACAGGTCCAGGTAATCACTTAGATAATTCTTGAGGTGCTACCAGTTCCATCTTTTGGAGATTCAGTCACTATCTCCCATTCATCTTCCTTTACAACTCCAGCTCCACCACCTACAACTCCAGTTCTAGCTCCACCACCTATAGCTCTAGTTACATCACCTAGTCCAGTTCAACCTTCTACAGCTCCACCACTCCTGACTTATCATCGTCGTCCGCGCCTAGCATCAGGCCTAGCTATTTACGTCCTGTACCTGACCCTGCTCCTACTGCGGACTTGTCTCCTTCTAGTCAACCGATTGCACTTCGGAAAAGTATACGGTCCACACTTAATCCTAATCCCCATTATGTTGGTTTAAGTTACCATCGTCTGTCATCACCCCATTATGCGTTTGCATCATCTTTGTCCTCTGTTTTCAACCCTAAGTCTACAGGTGAAGTACTATCTCATCCAGGATGGTGACAAGCTATGATTGACGAGATGCTTGCTTTACATACGGGCGGTACTTGGGAGCTTGTTCCTCTTCCTTCGGGTAAATCTCCTGTTGGTTGTCGTTGGGTGTATACAGTCAAAGTTGGTCCAGATGGCCAGGTTGATCGACTTAAGGCTCGTGTTGTTGCCAAAGGCTATACTCAGGTATTTGGGCTCGATTACAGTGATACTTTCTCTCCCGTGGCTAAAATAACATCAGTTTGCCTTTTTCTATCCATGGATGCTGTTCGCCATTGGCCTCTCTATGAGTTGGACATTAAGAATGCTTTTCTTCGTGGTGACCTTAAGGATGAAGTTTATATGGAGCAACCACCTGGTTTTGTTGCTCAGGGGGAGTCTTGTGGCCTTATATGTCGGTTGCGTCGACCCCTCTATGGTCTAAAGCAGTGTACTCGAGCCTGGTTTGGTAAGTTCAGCGCAGTTATTCAGAAGTTTGGCATGACTCGTAGTGAAGTTGATCACTCTGTGTTTTATCGGCATTCTGCTTCAAATCTCTGTATTTATCTGGTGGTTTATGTTGATGATATTTTTATAACCGGCAGTGATCAGGATGGTATTACTATGTTGAGGCAACAACTTTTTCAACATTTTCAGACTAAGGATCTGGGCAGATTATAGTATTTTCTGGGTATTGAGGTCGCTCAGTTTAGCTCATGTATTGTGATCTCACAATGGAAGTATGCCTTAGACATTCTTGAGGATACAGGAATGACAGGCTGTAGACCTGTTGACACTCCTATGGATCCGAATTCTAAACTTCTGCTAGGACAAGGGAAGCCGCTTAGCGATCTGCAAGATATAGGCGGTTGGTTGGTAAATTAAATTACCTCACTGTGATAAGACCTGACATTTCCTTTCCTGTGAGTGCGGTGAGTTAGTTTATGGATTCTCCCGGTGATAGTCATTGGGATGCAGTTGTCCGCATTCTTCAATATATAAAATCAGCCCCATGCAAAGGATTATTGTTCGAAGATCGAGGCCATGAACAAATTATTGGATACTGTAGATTTGAGAAGAAAAAAAGGCTTCTTGTATTTCTGTGTTTACATCCCATGAGCAAGGGAATTTATACAAAGCTCCTAATGCTAATTAAGAAAATAAAATAAATCTATACAATCAATCCAACTATCAAATCAAATCATAATAAAATTAGATCTGCTAAATATAATCAAATCTCCTGAAATCATGCTAATCAACACTCGTAAATCAAGTCTCCTTGAATCATGCTAATCAACACTCCCTCTCAAGTTGGTGCAAAGATGTCGCACATGCCTAACTTGCAACTCAAAATATGGAAAGTTCGGTTGTTGAGACCTTTGGTAAACACATCAGCTAGGTGTTTTTCCGATGGCACATGAAACAAACTCAAGACACCGGTTATAACTTTTTCTTTGATGAAGTGTCGATCAATTTCCACATGCTTTGTTCGGTCATGCTGGACTGGATTATGAGCTATACTGATGGCAGCCTTATTGTCACAGTACAAGGAAAGTTTTCCTTTTTCAGACAGTCTCATTCCTGTAGTAGCTTTTGTAGCCAAAGCAGTTCGCAAATACCTTGGGCCATGGCTCTATATTCTACCTCCGTACTTGATCTAGCAACTACACTTTGCTTCTTGCTTCTCCAAGTAACCAAGTTTCCTCCTACGAGCGTACAGTAACCGGATGTAGAACTTCTATCATCCAAAAATCTAGCCCAATCCGCGTCGGTAAAGGCTTCTATTTGGAGGTGATCATGTTTGGAGAAAAGTACTTTTCCCTGGAGCAGACTTCAGATACCGCAAGATGTGAAAGACAACTTGCATATGAGGATCTCGAGTATCATGCATGAACTGACTCACCAGGCTAACTGAATAGGCTATATCTGGTCTAGTGTGGGAGAGATAAATGAGTCTTCCAACCAGCCTCTGATATCTCTCTTTATCAACTAATTCTCCAACTCCGCTTTGTAACTTGTGATTGTTTTCAATGGGCGATTCTGCGGGTCTGCAACCTGTCATACCGGTTTCTTTCAAGAGATCCAGAATATACTTTGAGAAATAAAGATTCCTCTTTTGGATCTAGCAACCTCAATTCCCAAGAAGTACTGCAATTTTCCTAGATCCTTGATCTCAAATTCATATGCTACAAACTTCTTCAATCGGGACATCTTTTTTTTGTCTATCTCCTGTCATTACTATGTCATCAACATAAACTATGAGAAGAGTGAGTTTACCCGTTTGATGTCTTATGAAGAGGGTGTGATCAACATTGCTTTGTTGGTAACCGAAAGAAATTATTGCTTTGTTGAACATGTAAAACCAAGCTCTGGGGGGATTGCTTCAGTTCGTATAAGGCTTTCTTCAATCTGCATACCTTTCCTTGACTCTATGCAATATCAAATCCAGGAGGAATCTCCATACACCTCTTCTTCTAAGTATCCATGAAGAAATGCGTTCTTCACATCAAACTGTTGCAAGTCCCAATCAAGATTAACTGCACAAGATAAAAGAATTCTAATAGTGTTCATCTTAGCAACATGGGCAAATGTCTCTTGATAATCCACTCCATAAGTCCGAGTGAATCCCTTAGCCACCAATCTTGCTTTGAATCTTTCAATCGAGCCATCGGCTTTGTGCTTCACAGTGAAGACCCATTTGCAGCCAACTAACTTCTTGTCTGGTGGTGAAGTGACAAGTTCCCAAGTCTCATTTTTTGACAAGGCCTTCATTTCTTCAATCATAGGTTGTTTCCATTTAGGATCTGCAAAAGCTTCCCTTCAATTCTGGGGAATAAACACAGAAGAAATAGACAAGGCAAATGCTCTATAGGAGGGAGACAAAGAATTATAGGAGACAAAGTTAGATAAAGGGTGTTTGGTGGTGCAAGATCTGACCCCTTTTCTGTGAGCAATAGGCACATCTAACTCATTAGGAAATGTAGATAACTCACCAGTAGAAGAAGGTTCAGCTTCGGTAGATTGTATGATGGCTTCTTTTGCTCTATTGTTCCTTGAGTAAGTTTTCAAATCAGGCCTATCCAAACGCCCAATAGTTTTCCCCTGATTTCTTTCTCCAATTTCACTTTCCCCTGTGACAGTGTCATCAGGAGGTCCAGTAATGGAACTAGGTAGAATCACCTCTTTCTCCTTACTACTCTCCCCCTGAAGAGGTGATGAGGTAATATTGGATTAGGGTCAGATTCTCGAAAGGTTTAATCCATGCTAACAAAAGATCTCCTAGAGGGAGGATGATAATATTTGTAACCTTTATATGTCGGAGAATACCCAATGAAAACACACTTTATAGCTTTAGGATCAAGTTTCTCAGAGTTTCTAGTGTGGACAAAGCAAACACACCCAAACACCTTTGGAGGAACAATATATTCATTTTTACCCTTTAAAGTTTCTAGAGGACTTGAAAATTGAGGGGTTTAAGTGGCAATCTATTGATAAGATAGGCATCCGCTAGAATAGCATCCCCAGTAAGGTTTTGGTAGATGCATGGTGAACATAAGAGATCTTGCTATTTCTAACAGATGCCTAATTTTTAATTCAGCGACCTCAGTTTGTGCACTTGTGTAAGGACAATTTGTTTGATTGACTATCCCATTGGACTCCAAATATGCATCAAATCTTTTATCCATGTATTTGTTGCCATTGTCAGTTCTCAAGATTTTTATTTTGGCATCAAACTGAGTACACAAATCATCTTATGAAATAACTTAAAACAAGAGAAAACTTCACTTTTGGCTTTTAACAAATATACCCAAGTCATCCTAGTGCAGCAATCAATAAAAGTAACAAACCATCGACTACCAAACAAAGAAACAATTTGGGTAGGATCCCATACGTCAGAATGAATAGTCATAAACGGAGTTGTGCTTCTATTATCACTCACAGGTTCATAGTTTCTAGTATGCTTGGCATATTCACACGCATCATAGAACAAAGATTCAAATCGAGTCCTTGAAAATAAATCGGGATATAACTTCTTCAAAACTTAGAATGATGGGTGTCCTAACCGTTTATGCCGCTGTATTATTTCTTGGTTGACATCTTTTCCTTAAAAAAGGCTTGACCAGAGTTTTGAATTCCATCTAACATATACAAGTCTGCCAATCCTTTTCCCTGTTTGAAGATCCCGAAAAATACAATGATCGGGAAAGAACTCGATTTTACATTTTAGAGCTTTAGTGATGGCACTAACAGATAAAAGATTGACAGGGAACTCAGGAACATGGAGCATGGATGATAGTTTAATATTAGGAGTACAAATGACAGAACTTGTTCCTGAGATAGGTGTTAAAGAACCATTGGCTATTTTAACATTATCTTCTTTTGGACACGGATAATAGTTTCGAATGCCTTTAGAAGAGTCTGTCATGTGTCTATTTGAACCAGAATCGACAATTCAAGAATTAATGTGAGCAGCAAAGACAGTACCTGATTGCACATGATTGGATGTGGCAACATTAGGGGAGTCTAGTTTGGCTAGGAGGCGACGGAGAAGCTGAATTTCATCAGAAGATAAGATTTTTCCAGAAACCGTTTCCTTGAATGTCTCCATATTTTCTGCCCAATCAGAAGGAAATCTGAAGAAAATTGCTCAAAAGTAATCTACCTCGCTGGAAACCAAATCTGTCTCGATGGAACCAAAAGGGGTTTGTGTTGCGGACAGCCACCAAGAGAGAGAAAACTCGATCTCTTTGATAAAAACGGAACCCTAGTGCTGCGAGGGAGATAACTCACCTCAAAAAGGCAGCAAGGGCTTTGATACCATGTAGATTTTGAGAACAAGAAAAGGCTTCTTGTATTTCTGTGTTTACATCCCATGAACAAGAGAATTTATATAAAGCTCCTAATACTAATTAAAGAAATAAAATAAATCTATACAATCAATCCAGCTATCAAATAAAATCAAATAAAATCAGATCTCCTAAATATAATCAAATCTTTTGAAATCATGCTAATCAACACTTCTAAATCAAGTCTCCTTGAATCATGCTAATCAACAGATACTCAGATGCTGACCGGGCAGGATCATCTTCTGATAGACGTTCTACGTCTGGATATTTTGATCTAGTGGGAGGAAATTTGGTGTATTGGAAGAGCAAGAAACAGAATGTGGTTGCTCGGTCTAGTGCCGAAGCAGAATATCGAACAATGGCCGTGGCAACATGTGAGCTAGTTTGGATCAAACATTTGCTCAAGGAGTTGAAACTTGGTGAGATCTGTAAGATGGAACTTGTGTGAGATAATCAAGATGCCCTTCATATTGCATCAAATCCGGTGTTCCATGAGAGAACTAAACACATTGAGATTGACTGTCACTTCGTCAGAGAAAAGATACTCTCAGTATCTACAAAGTTTGTGAAGTCGAATGATCAGCTTGCCGATATTTTCACCAAGTCCCTCACTGGTCCTCGTATTAGTTACATATGTAACAAGTTCGATACATATGATTTGTATGCACCAGCTTAAGGAGTACTGCTAGATAGTTATGTAAATAACCCTAGTCCCGCATGGAATAGGAATAGAATATGTATGGTGTATAGTTATAAATAGGGCTATTGTAAAACACTTAATAAAAGATCAATAATAGATTTTTCTCCCGTGCATTTTTACATCCTCTATGTTCTCCTTGCATGACACGGTAACAAAATATCTTGTAGTCACCCCGTCCATGCCATCAACTTTTTAATTGCCGTCATCACTTACAAGGTGTTAGTTGAAACACTTGAATCTCTTTATGAATCTTCTCGAATCTATAAAGGGTAGATGACGAGAGAGCACCTTTTCGTGGGAGTAGTTATTGTTAAGATCTTAGGGAGGAAATGTTGTAGGAATAGTCATTGGTAAGCTGTCTTTTCTGATCAACAATTCTGATGATGCAAGTGTTTAGATAAGTCTGGGAGGCAATACGTGTTGGACGAATGAGAAGCAGAGCTGTGATTTTCTGCTGATTTTTCCTTGCTTCTGCTCCTTATTCTTGTTATTTATTATGTGTCAATATATTTCAGGGAGTTGCTAGTCTCTATTAAATTTGCTGAACCTGGATGGCAATGGTCCGGTTGCTTCTTGCCAGAACATCTAGGTGATATTCAGGTGAAAATGCGAAATTTTCTCTCTGGTGCCGTGAACATGATACGTGTGGAAGTTCAGACTGCTGATGTCTCAATTAAAGATGATAAAATTATTGGGAGCCCTCACGGTCAATCGGGGACAAACTTGATTCTTGTGTCAGAAGATGATACTGGCTTTATGCCATACCGTATTGACAATTTCTCCCAGGAGGTATATTCCTTCTGTGCAACACAGTAGTTTTTGACCTTGTATTAGCCACAGCTAGATGGGTAAAATATTCTCTAGGATTTTGGTTACCGCAAAAGTCTTGCTTTAAAGTCATCTCCAATTTTTTCACCGCTGCCACCCTATTTATGTGACATAAATTGATTGGGATGCAGATATAGACTTCATTTCTGAGTGACATAGGATACTAGTAGCATATGTGAACAAATACAAGGTTGGATGAGGACACGAATACCACAAGACAATAATAAGTGTCTAAAACTAGGGGACTATTCTAGTATATTTTGAGTTTTGACAAATTTTTGTAGCAAATTCTTACAAAGATGTAAGCTACCAAAAAGGAAAACATTTAACACAGATCTGGTTTGAGAACAATGGACTAAGTTATTTAAGTAAAAAGAGAATAAAATATCTAAACGTCTAGTGAATGCCACTGAGTATGCTCGTTCTATAAGGGTGAACTGGCGATTTTCATCTCTAATTTGCAACCCGCATTACTGTCCATGTTTTCCTTAATTAGCAAATTTTAACATATATATTCACATTAAGTTAGTAAAAATGTGATTCCAATTATGTAATGATTGCTATGCCATCTCGTCTAAAAATTCAAGTTGTTGAGGAGACAAGTGAATACACTATTTATTTAATTGGGTTTTCAACATGGTTTCCCACATCTGGAAAATTCACTTTATGTGTGTACCTGACCTCGTCTAAAACTTCAGCTTTCTAGAGGATCTCTATATATTTATCCAAAATCACTGTGTTAAAGACCTTTTTAAATTCTCTATAGCATAAGAATATTTAAGATTTAGCAAAGTAAATTGATATTTCTTAAAGTAGTTTGTCCATAACAAAGTTTGTTTTAGGTTAAGTATTAGGTTACAAAGTCGTTCCCCATCCATAGGTTGACATATCTACTAAATTAGGTAACATTGGTCTAAATTTTAGCAAACTCATCAAATTATGGAATTGGTTAGTGAATTGTTTAATTGTGTAATCACCTCTTCTTAAAGTTTGTGTTGTTGGTGTTGTTAGTTTGGTCTGTTGTCTGTCTATCTTATCTTCTTCAACTCCCTTATTTAAGGTGTCAAAAGTATTGGGCCTTCCAAGAGCAGTAAAGATTTACCATCTTTAGAAAGTAAATTTTAACTCAACTAAGAAGAGTGCTAAACATAAATTGTCCTTAAATTCCACCAATTATTTAAACATCTTGTACTCCAATAATTTCTTTCCTTTCCATTTTGGTCATGTCTACTCAGAAAAATTGGAATATGGAGTGCTAATGTCCTTTTAAATAGTTTCATCAAGGTAAAAAGCTTGATATTTGGTCCTATAATTGTAGATTTTGAGAAGAAGAAAAGGCTTCTTGTATTTCTGTGTGTGTTTACATCCACAAATCTCCTAATGCTAATTAAAGAAATAAAATAAATCTATACATTCAGTCGAACTATCAAATCAAATCAATTAAAAATCAAATTTCCTAAATATAACTAAATCACCTGAAATCATGCTGATCAACAATCTCCAAAATATAATCAAATCTCTTAAATCATGCTAATCAACACTCCCCTTAAGTTGGTGCAAAGATGTCGCACATGCCCAACTTGCAACTCAACGTATGAAAAGTTCGCTTGTTGAGACCTTTGATAAACACATGAGCTAGTTGTTTTTCCGATGGCACTTAAAACAAACTCAAGACACTAGTTGTAATTTTTTTGTATGCTTTGTTCGGTTATGCTGGACTGAATTATGAGCTATACTGATGACAGTCTTATTATCACAATACGAGGAAAGTTTTTCTTTTTCAGACAGGCTCAATTCCACTTGTAGCTTTTGTAGCCAAAGCAGTTCGCAAATACCCTTGGCCATAGCTCTATATTTTGCCTCCGCACTTGATCTAGCAACTACATTTTGCTTCTTGCTTCTCCAAGTAACCAAGTTTTCTCCTACGAGCGTACAATAGCCGGATGTAGATCTTCTGTCATCTAGAGAATCAGCCCAATCCGCGTCTGTAAAGGCTTCTATTTGGAGGTGATCATGTTTGGAGAAAAGTATACCTTTCGCTGGAGCACACTTTAGATACAAAGACAGCTTGCATAGGATCTCGGGGATCATGCATGAACTGACTCACCAGGCTAACTGAATAGGCTATGTCTGGTCTAGTGTGGGAGAGATGAATGAGTCTTCCAACCAACCTCTGATATCTCTCTCCTTATCAACTGATTCTCCAACTCCGCTTTGTAACTTGTGATTGCTTTCAATGGGTGATTCTGTGGGTTTAGTTTCTTTCAAGACATCCAGAATATACTTCCTTTGAGAAATAAAGATTCCTCTTTTTGATCAAGCCATCTCAATTCCCAAGTAGTGCATTTTTCCTAGATTTTTGATCTTAAATTCATATGCAATAACTTCTTCAATCGGGCTATCTCCTCTTTGTCATTTCTATGTCATCAACATAAACTATGAAAAGAGTGATTTTACCCGTTTGATGTCTTATGAAGAGGGTGTGATCAACATTGTTTTGTTGGTAACCGAAAGAGATCATTGCTTTGCAGAATCTGTCAAACCAAGCTCTGGGGGATTGCTTCAGTCCGTACCTCTCTTCAATCTGCATACCTTTCCTTAATTTTGTGCAATATCAAATCCAGGAGGAATCTCCATATACACCTCTTCTTCTATGTTTCCAAGAAGAAATGCATTCTTCATATCAAACTGTTGCAAGTCTCAATCAAGATTAGCTGCATAAGACAAAAGAATTCTAATAGTGTTTGTCTTAGCAACATGGGCAAATGTCTCTTGATAATCCACTCCATAAGTCTGAGTGAATCCCTTATCCATCAATCTTCCTTTGAATCTTTCAATCGAGCCATCAACTTTGTGCTTCACAGTGAAGACCCATTTGCAGCCAA